GTTTTACTGATACAACACACCAGTTGGAGCCACATAACGTGTTTGACGGATAACATGCACGTTAAAGTTAACGTGAGTGATACAGCACAGGGCTGATTGATTAGCTACTATCTCATCATCTTCCAAGATTTCTATACCCAAATTTTCCATCATCTCTTGCCCATTGCTTGAATTATAACATTATACACTATATCTCAAATCTGTACCAATGTCAACCGTTATTATCTGAATATGTATTTTCTTTAAGCCGCGGAAGTATGGCATAGCATCACTGCTTAGGCGGCACTAATATCTGATACTAGTATTCGCCCGTACCCACTAACGGCGAAATTCGGTCCGCAAGTCCAGATCTGCAGATTTATTTTGTATGAAATTCACATCGAGTCGTATCTGGCTCGTGGTTAACCATTAACGCACCGATATTTCTTCGAACTTGGCTCGCCACGTATCAGATATGAGAGATATTTCGCTCGTGTATGGGGCGCTATTGGCTACAATGGAGCAGTTCACACGAACGTCGACGTCGCCCACCGTTGTTTCACCGTTGGACGGTAACGCCGCGTTGAAATCCCCACCGCCGGCGACTGCTAGAACGCTGGCGGTGTTTCGCCGTCGGACGTCGAAGCAAAACATTATCTTATATGTGCCGGATCATACGGGCGCAACGGCGACGTTAAAAATGCCGAAGGTTGACTACGATATCGGATTGTTAATTGAAGAGTTTCACGTTTTCAGCTTCACGTGTAATTCATCAAACGATTTGGGTTAGTTTGGGTGTTATTAAAAAACTTTTCTTTGTTGTTCCTGAGATCCCCAAAATCGCTAGCAAATGCTCCTTTTAATGCACGAGCACTCACATAAGGATAAACCCAATAATTTATGGTCTTTTACAAATGTAAAGTTTGTATACGTAATACGCAAACAAAACCCGTTGTTCATAATCGACCTCCATGCCTGTACTAAAATTGCGTTGTGTCGAAATAAATCTATCGTAAAAATATGCGTCACCACAGCGTCAAAATGCGCTCGTGTAAACTGCTCCAAAAAAAATTGTCGGCGGCACCACCACGTCGGCGTCGCGTCACCGCACCGTTAAAAAACGCAGCACTTAATGGTTCGATAACTATCGGTGCGCTAAAGTTGTAGGTTCTATAACTTGCCGTGGGTTTCTCAACACGTCTAAACGTACAAAGCGATAAAGTAGGGAAAGCCATATAACGAAGGAGAATAATCTGTAAAGACTGGTTAGAGCTGTAAATCTGTAAAGACTGGCTGAATGTGTCTCTGAAGTAGCTTTCCTAGGTAATAAACAGCGTTTTTGGTTAACCGAAAGCGATCTCGAAATAAATCTTTGCTATATTTCTCAAAATGATCGTTTCTTGTTCGAACGGCGAATTATTTCACTATTAGAACATCGAAGAGGTAAAGGTCCGAGATTACACATTTATGGGTTCTTCAATGTAACGAACCGCTAGCTCTTATTCAACGTTTCAGAAACCCATTTTTCCGATTTATAGAACCGTTTAGGCTAGTTGAACTATAAAGATCGTTTCAGAAACCGGGCATTAGAGTTTTCGTGATCATTCACGGTTTGCCATGATGCTAATATGCAAGTAATGTGCCGATGATTCAGCCAATCGGCAAGGATGTGATCCAAAGTCTTATATGGAAAAAGGTAGCTGGAAAAGGTACATTTACAAGAAAATGAATATACCTATTGCGCAATGTTTAAAGAATGTATCGCTGAGAAAATCAGTTTTTGTCTTAGCAGAATCTTGGAGCAAATGGCTGGGATGCACATTTATGTCTCTGAGATTTACGAGAAGAAGGACCTGATCTAATCTGATCTAATGAGATAGTCTCCCCAGTAAAACCTGTAGAAATCAGAACATTGACGAAGACGAACCTATTCAGAAAACGCACTGTAATGAAGCAGTTATTAATTCATATCTACTTTGAGCGGAAGGATTTGTTTACAGAACTGTAACAATTTTGTCCAAACCAACAATTGGGAGGTAAGAAAATACAGCAAATCGATATAATGACAAATGACAATGCATGTAACGAGTTCATCTTTCTTATGCTTACTTTGCTTTTATTTTGAACGTATGTATATGATTATGTATACATAATTAAATACAGTTTTTTTACCGGTAGAAACCTAAACCGAAAATGTTCTGCCAACTTCCAGTTCGGATGATCCATACATTACTATTTATGTTCTCTAGATCATTTTATTATTTGAATTATAATATTATGCTGAATTTTAAATAGGATTTAATGGTCCGCCTCCAAATTTTGGCGACAACGGTCCCAATTGGGGTCCACCCGGCATGAACCGGGGCCCACCCCCAAATCTTATGGGTGGACCGCCTCCTTTTGGGGCACCTCCAATGATGAGTGGATTACCGGGAGTTCCTGGTGCTGCAGGATACCCCGATGGCTCTTCCAGATCAAACGAACAGGTAAGTTGAAAAAAACTAATATTTATCAACGCAACTTATTTTATTTTGGACACCCTTAACATCAAACTTACAAATTCCGTACTGATGTGTTCTTTAATTAGCATATATTTTATTTTATTTAACTATTGCAGAGTCCATCTTTGGATGCAACAAATGAAATTTGGGTAGAAACTAAAACTGGCGAAGGGAAATCTTATTATTATAATGCCAGATCGAGGGAAACGACTTGGACCAAACCCGAAGGTCCCAATATTAAAGTCATTACCCAGGTAAATCATTTTTATAATTTATTTAAAATTTAAAAATATTGGGAAGATTCGTGGCGTTAAATGTATTGTAATTTTAATCTTAATAGGATCAAGTTGAGGCAATGGCGCAAGCAGCTAGCACTAATACGCAACCTCAAAATACGTCAACTGCTGCACAGGCAGCTCTTGCACAAGCCAGCATAACTAATAAACCTGAAAGCAAAGGTGATTACAATTGAATTAGGCCTTGTAGGTTGTGTGCTATAAGCATTGTTTTTATTCAGAGAGCGAAGAGCAGAAAAAAGAACTTAACAACCAAGTTAATATGGGACCACCTCCGTCGATGATGGGTCATGGAGGAATGCCTTATGGCCCACCTCCAGGAGGGTTTCCTCCATTTGGAATGCCTCCGTTTGGCTTACCACCCCCGGGCCAAGGTCCACCAAGCTGGATGCCCCCAGGAGCCACTCCATGGGGAATGCCTCCAGGGCTTATGCCTCCCGGTAAGTGTAAGCAGCAAATGAGAATATTTGAATGATTGATGCATAGCACGTGCATAGCATAAGTATGTGTATGTATAGGACAGCCAATACAAATTAATGAAAAATTATTGACAATGCCACAACGTAAACGACCACACGTGGGTACAACTTCAAAGATCCCAGAAATCGAATTATTATTTATATTTATTATTAAATAGAAACATTTGAGAGTGAACACATGAAGTGTATTTTTTGATTTAAAGCGTGTAAATCGATTTTCTCGCTTTTTTCTCAAGCAATAAAATTTGTATTCAAGGCTATGAGAGTCAACTTATTGAATCAAGCATAGTATCTGTACTTCCTGATGAATTTGTTACAATATTAATGTCATGGGCATTTGCACGTCCTAATACAAGGCGAAAAGTGCCCGCTTTTTCACCGGAGTGGGACGTTCACCGTTTCACGTGAGTGGAATGTTGGTTTTTATAAAATAAATTTTCAGTTGCAGTAAGTATTCCAAGTGCCTTGCCCGCAATTAATGAGGCGGAAATTTTGTCAAAAATTGATCCTGCTATAATTGCAAAAGCTAGAGAATGGACGGAACATAAAGCACCTGACGGACGATATTATTATCATCATGCTAAGAAAGGCGAATCCGTATGGGAAAAGCCCCAGGCCTTGAAAGATTTAGAAAGTACGTTTACCTTTTGGGTAAAATTATCGAAAGAATATAATGTTTTCGGTTCTTATAGATGCCAAACTGGCCGCGGCACAAGGAATTTCCACCCGTCCAAAAGATGACGGTTATTTACAAATGACACTAGATTCAGGTAAGACATCTAGTTCGCAGGAAAATGGTGAGTCTATGAAGGTTAACAGCCCAAAGGATAAGGAAGCTGAAGCGAAAGAAAAACTGGATAAACTTCAAGAGGAGATTAGGAAGAAGAAGGAGGAAGAAGAGAAGGAAAAAGAAAAGAAAGCCCAGGACAAATCGCGCCCTGTATCTAGCACACCTGTTCCAGGAACACCATGGTAAGTTTCTCATCCACTTGTAACTCGATTCCAATTCATCGTATTTGTACTTTTAAGGTGTGTGGTGTGGACTGGAGATGGTCGTGTATTTTTCTACAACCCTTCTTCTCGCACCTCTGTATGGGAAAGACCAGAGGAATTGCTCAAGCGAACGGATGTTGATAAGATGGTATCTACGCCCCCAGATGCTTTGGCGTCATCTGCCAGCAAAGGAGAGGCTCTAGAAGCTAAGACTCCCGTTAAAGCAAAAAGATCGTCTGATGATAGCGACAGCGACAATGAGATTCCTGCAAAAAAAACGAAAATTGACATTGATCTTACAAGTAAGACGAATCTTTTATCCTATTTCCACCTGATTGCTTAATTGTAAGATTTTTTAGCTTCTAATGGTACTCCCCCCACCAAGAAAATCGACATTGGCAAAGAGGCTGCTATTGAAGCTGAAGTGAGAGCTGCTAAAGAAAGAGCCGTTATTCCTCTCGACACCAGGATAACTCTGTTCAAGGAAATGTTAGCAGAGAAGCAGGTGTCTGCTTTCAGTACTTGGGAAAAAGAATTGCATAAAATTGTGTTCGATTCTAGGTGAGATCAAATTATTAAACGTTAAAATTAATATACTTACGTGAACATAACTTTCTGCTGATCTAGGTATCTGCTTTTAACTTCGAAAGAGCGGAAACAAGTTTTTGAAAGATATGTCAAAGAAAGGGCCGAAGAAGAAAGGAGAGAGAAGCGGAACAAATTGCGGGAGAAGAAAGAGTCGTTTAAGAAGCTATTGAGTGAATCGCATTTGCATGGAAAGTACGTAATTCTCATCATAAATAAAGCGAAGTATTGTAAATTAATTAGATGTCTTTGTCGATTTCAGATCTTCCTTTAGCGATTTTGCACAAAAATACGCAAAAGATGAGCGATTTAAGGGCGTTGATAAGATGCGTGAACGCGAAAGCCTTTTCAACGAACATCTCATTGAAGTGCGCCGGAAGGAGAAAGAAGAGAAGTTTCAAAAAAGAGAAGCGGTAAGTTCTTTATCATTATTTTCTGGCTGAGTTATGATTAACTCTGCCAGGTCATTGCAAACAGTCCTGAGATACTTTTAAGTTTCTATTTTATCTTGCAAATATATTCTCACGAAACATACTTACTTAAAAGGCACGTTTTAGATCATTTGGTAGGAAAAGAAAGAGCATCATGGTGTATTTTATTAATTGGGGCAAGTTCTGCATTCATTTTTAAGATTTCTTCGTTTTTCATATAAATGATGCCAGATCTGATCTGAATATTTTATAAACCAATTAATTGATCACACGACGATAATATTTTAGCTTCTAAGCCGATCTTTCCAATTAATGCCATGTTTTTCATTCATGTCATTATTGCGATCAACTGAAAATAATTGAAGGAGCAAAACCGCCTAAGTCACAAAAGGTTTATTCAGAGAAATTACTCTTGAAAGTTTTCTTACAATGGAAAACTTTGAGCTTATGAATTAAATTAGTTTGTGTTATAGAACGATTCATACTAAGTACAAAAACTTAACTACTATTCCAGAAATAAAAAAAAATACATTTTTAAACAAGATGAAAAAAATAAACAAAACAAAAAATGAAAGGTCCTGATCCAAAGTTTTTTTAAGGAAAGCTGATGTTTTGGTTTTTATTGTATGAAAAAAATATGAATTGATTTTGTCTCCTTTTTTGGATCCTTAATATGTGTGTCTAAATATTTTGAAATGGATACAAAATCTAATGCTAGCCGCCTTTTAGGTTTTTTATGGCTAAAGTTGAAAATTTTGTTTATGAGTCATAAGTTGGTAAACTGTACAACTTAGAAGAAAGGCGTTGTATCTCATCCCTTGTAAATTCTACATTAGTATCGGCATGTGTGTTCATACTCCTGAACGATTTTCTTTCTTTTATTTTTCTGTTTGCTTTTATATTCTTAACCAGAAGACCTATTTTTCTTTAGTACATTTATTGTCCATTCGTTAATATTGATTGCTCTTTTTCGGATTTGTCTATGGGCTACTTACATAGAAAATTCACCTTACGTCACCTTGCGTTCTGATCCTTAAACTTTACTCACCGAGCTAGCTACTACTACTAGAAGCTTCGTTATGTGATATGGAATTATCACTCCTATCTTTTCTCATCTTCACTTCATATTAAATCAGGTTCCTCGTCCATAGCGTATGGATTTGTTTCTGAGTCTGAACAAGTATCCTATCGTTGTCTGAAAATTCCAATATTTTTTATACCTGTCAATTTATTTTGTTTACCTGATCCAGGAGACATAATAAATGAAAATTATAATATAATTAATCACTGTGATTAGATGTTGTAATATTCGAACGAAAATACATTCAGCAGCAAATCAACCCAAGTGCCACTCAGGCGTTTTCGGCTCCAAACGTCTGGCGAGATTCCTTTATATTGGGACTGATTTTTACCTGGGCGATTTTACTACCAAAATGTAGCAAATATAGAAAACACGAATTAACACTTATGTTCGTTTTGCAAAATATTGCACTTAGCCGGTTTTGCTTCTAATCGCTTCAATTATTATACTGAAATAATGGTGCAGCAAAATCATGCCAACCAGCCCTATTTTTGCTTCACCCATTTGAATTTAAAGTCTTGAAAGATTTGAATAAAACACAGGTTTAAATATGTATAAATTTTATTTTCCTAACAATTGCTATAAGCGTGAACTTGATATTAAACATTTATCGAGGGCACTTTCTTGTTTTTTTGTTGTTTTTTTTT